TTTGTTAAAAAAATTCTGCCTAGGTGTCCTCAAACTACCACAGGAACTATCAATCAGTTTTCACCCTGAAAACATGAAGTGTGAAAAACAAACTATCAGGGGAGAACCAAGCTCACACTACTGACTAGTAAGGTCAGTGAAACTGTCTGGAACTAACTAGACTTTGGCTTCAGTCCAGCACAGTAATTCCTACATGTCTATCCTTGCCCTCAGGGATCATATGGGGTACTTTTCTTGTAGTGTGCCTAGTACACAGCACCCCATGGCTTTTGGAATTCCCTTCAAGTTGATTGGATTTTTCAGGCTTTCTCCTTCATCTTTGTTCAGGATGCAAGTGAGAAAATCATGCTGGTTTTACTGGCATGTATTTCCCATCTTGATTCCAGTTCAATTTGTTTCTTTGTACAGCAGTTCCATTTAACTTCATGGGGTGGGGTGGTGGTGAAATCTCCCCAGAAAACTCTCGGGAATTTTATAGAAAAATAAGGCTGGTGAGGTTACTGACTCCATTGTCTCCCCTAAGTGTTCTGAGATTTAAAAAAAATGACCACATACTTGGAAGAGAAGGTTTATTTAGGTCTGGAGTTCTGTTTTTGTAATTTTTCTCAAGGAAGCAGGGATTTTTTGAAAGCTACTAAGTTGCATAAAAAAAATCCTCATTTGACTTGTGTCCTTTTTTTGAAGTGTTTGACTGGAAGTGCCAAGTGTGGTGTTAACACATAGCGTGAGGAGTGAAGGGGAGGGAACACGTGCCAAGGTCACCTCCTCAGCAGTAGCCATGGCAAGCTTCACAGCAGTGATATAAAAACTCCCTCTGATACAAGATACCACTCACAGCTACTTTTTAAGAGCTATAAAATACAGAGCAGGCACATATTAATTAAAGTAGTTCAGAGAGAAGCTCTGCATGTCTGTCTTGGCAGCGGGTGACTGAAGGGCAAATAGCACGTAGGGGAGCAGGATGTCCATGCACAGAGTTAGCAAAAATATTTTTTGTTTTTATCACCTCCAGGTTTGTCAGTGGGCAGCACTGACAGATGGTTTGCAGCTGGGGAGCCAGTCAGCGTGCTGCTAAGAAAGCAATGTGACCTGTGTCGTGAAGCAGTGCATACTGTAAGGAAGCTTTTCTTCATGACTAGCACAAATCTCCTTTGTTGACATTTAAGTCCATTACCTCCTGTCCTAGCTAGACTAGAAAGCACACCACAAAAATCCCCCTCCTCTTCAGAACGTTTCTTATTTACCTCTTTGTCCCTCCATTGTTCCCCCTAAACAAGACAAACTCAGTTCTTCTAGACTTTGCTCATAAGCCACACTTCCACACTGATGTTCCCTGCAGAGCACAGGACTCACCTTCAGAGTGGCAAGTTTTCAGCAAAAGAGGCAGTGATGAGGACAAGAACCCATTCAGGCTTCCCTCTGCTCCTTTCCCTTCGAGGTTAGGGCAAGGCAGGTCAAAAGACAACCCAGATTACTAGCTGAGTGCCAACCCACTAGCTATGGCCATCTCTTCCTTGTCCCTACTACAGCCCACCATGAGAATAAGCTTTTGCTGTGAACTCACTGACTGGACACAGCTGGCAGTGAAACACACCCAGCAAAAGGTTGGTGGCTAGCAGGAAGTCTTTCTGGTTCTAATTGGTGATTATTCCAATTCAGATGAAAGGTGGGTGAAATACAGATAACCCACCTTTTTTAGTTCTTACATTTATCTACCTATATCTACCTCACCTGCTGGCTTCTTTGTCCAAAACTGGAGCAGGCCTTACACACTCCAATATTTCACTATACACTGGAAACCTTGAAAGCAGCAGAGCATAACAGGGGCATGGAGCCAATGTGGCCAGACCTCAGTGACATTAAGAGTCCCAATGCCCATTTGCAAGGCAGGGAAAAAAGGGGCATTTGGGTATTCTTGAGGATCTAACATTCACCATCACTTATGGTGCACAAAAGATGCACTTGAAGGCAGTTTTCTCCCCTGTAAACACTTTGTCAAGAAATAGGCAGTCTAGTCTGATGTTTTCCAGAGCTCTGTAAGGATTTCTTAAGTTACAATTTTACTGCTTGGACCAACTCTACTTCTAGTGTGTAAAATGGAGCTGGTCTTCAAAACACCACAGTGCTTTGAGACATGCAGCTGAACAACATCTAGTCTTGCTACTCATATATCACAGGACTACCAGAGGGGGACAGAAGATAGCATAAAGCTTTGAAAACACATGGAAAACATTATCTAAATAGCAAAAATATGACCTAAAACTATATACACATGCTTACAGCTCAGATTTGAACTCTCAATAGCCCTTGCTAGATAAGTAGGGATAATGATTTTTTTTATTCATAGTGCACTGAAAGGGAGTCCCACTCTTATTTTCACACGCCCCAGCAGTCAGACAGTCCCCCTGCTTTTATTTACGGCTACAGGTCCTGGACAGAGTCATGGCACAGAGGAAAAAGGAAAAGCAACTGGCAGATCTCAGCTAATGCAAAGTACTGTCTGACATTTTTCAAAGAACAATCAATTGCAAAGGACTTGCTGTTAATCACTGTGAAACAGATACATTTCAGATCCCCACAGAGCATGATACAATGTGAAGCAGCTTCTTAGAGCAGCAGGGTTTTTTGTGAAGGGAGTTTGGACAGGCAGTTTTTCTCTTAAGCCTGCATTTCTGACAGCTGCCTAGTACCCTTTTCACAGGCTTGTCACATTTGTACTGAGATATATAAATGCCTTCTCCTTTTTTCCTTCTTTTTTGCAAAATCTTTCACTTTTTTAAGAAAAGAAAGACAGAAGCCATATTTCCTACCATCTATAGATGAAGCCAAATTTTTCCTGTACAAGGAAATGGCATCTTGTTATCTGAAGATGACATCTCTATTTTACAGTAAAAGCCTCCATCCTCTTTTTTTTCTGTTCTACTTACTCCCCCCGTCTCAAAGCTGAACTTATCCAATAGCTTGCAAAGGAAAGTAATAAGAGAAAGATGGTTCTGCTTTGTTTCCTGGTGACCAACACCACTGAGACCCCAGGTAGCATCACAGTGGCTAATTCAAGACAGAAACAAGTTCCATTACAGTTAAGTGGCAAGGGATGATGCAGCACTAACCGTGGCACAGAAAATCCTTGCCAGAGCTGCCTGCTCTTCTTGGTAGAATTCACAGTGATAGAGGAATATGTTTTGATTGAGAGAAATTGTGCTCCATGCATGTTTATTTGGCTTTTGGGGTTTTTTTTCCCTCTACTAAGCTTAACCATGTTGGTTCACTTGCATTATCCTCTTTACCTGTAAAAGCATTTAACAAAACCCCCTTGATGCAGGGGTAATACAAGAGGGCTCACTGTGGCTCCTTTAATAAGTCCCAGGGAAAGCTGGATATATCTTCTTTGCATTTAGCTCAAACTGCCTCTGCCTTTCTCCAGAACAATGTACCCCTCAGGGTGAGGAAAAGTCCTTATACCAACAGTATGGTACTGAGTAGAAGAGAGAGAAAGTTCTTTGTAATGGCCTCTACTCCCAAAAAACATCAAAGGGGATGGCTGCCTGTGGGAATGAAGAAGGTCTTACAGGTCTGGACAACTGTGGGGGCCCAAAAGAAGGAGATGAAGGAGCAGTGATGAGAATAGACTTTCCGGTTCAGGCTAGAGGTGCCTCTAAATCCATACAGAACACTGCAGACAGGCAGGTGAGTCCTTGTTACAGAGTCCTAGTTCCTCCAAGACATTCAGGCACGGGGCCAAGGCAGTGAGGTGTTTCTCAAGGCAACCACATTGCCTTCATGGAAAAACTCCCACCAAAACCATGTTACAGACAGTGCAGAGTCCAGATACTCCCTAAGGAGCCAGAGCAATAGAAATGCAACAGGAAGAGAGCTTCCCATGCCTGCCATTACTGAATACCAAACAGAGAATGCAAGCCCACAGGGATATGTTGTCTTCTGTCCTGTCAGTCACAGATGTGACAGCTGGGACCTTTAGCGACTGTCAAAAGAGGAAAACCAAGGCACTCCAAATGCCAAGACTGTCAGCAGCATAATTAACATGTCATGTATGGTCTGCTCAAAAGTGCAACACCTACTGCACCTCCAACAGATAATGTTGCCCAGCTGGTAAATCCTGCACCTTGCAATAATGTCTAAGTTACTGAAGAAATTAAGAAAAAACACAAACTGTAGTGTTTAGAAAGACAGAAATCAGTTTGTAGCCCATGGAGGAAGGGTTTCAAGGGCATTGCTTCTCTCACTCCTGAGGCATGTCTTTGGAAATTCATACCCAGTCATATTCTTACAGAACATCTGTTTCACATGGGCAGAACATATGAAACAAAAAGGATGAAAGCAAGTTCTGCAGGGAATTTATAAGCCAAGACACGTTTGGGGATCTCAGCAGATGTGGTGTGCTTCCTGCTAACCTGCAAGAACCAGGCAGGTGGCACCAAGCACCAGGTAAAAGGGAAAATTTCTCTCCCATCTCTGGTAGCATACTTTGGACAGACTTAAAACTTAATGTGAAGTGACAAGCAACAGAAAGAAAACCCCATGTTGTGAAAGCCAGCCCATACAGAGAGGATTGCCAATTCTCCCCCTGCACAGATAAAATGGATGTGTGTAGTTAAGTGCAGGACTGTCCCATTTAAGGTAAAATACTTGGTGCAACCTAGATGAATGCTCAGCCTGAGAAAAATCTAAGGTTTCATTTGAACAAATGCAGACCTGTAGCCATGACTGACCAAAATGACCAGGCCAAGGACAGCACCTGAACCCACTATTCAAACATACCTGAGCAAGCTCACTATCCACTGCTTAGAAGTACAGAATTGGTGCCAGCATGGGCTCTGCCACAGCTGATCTCTGACACACCAATCAGGGGAGGCACTGGAAAGGGAAACTTGGAGGGTGAGGTCCAGTTGTTACTGTAAGGAACAGTGGACCTGTAAGGCCTGGGTAAGACACAAGGAAAGAAGAGAAAAAGCAAGCATGCAAGAAAGGTACAAGAGAACTTCAAAAGTGATAAGTCTGGTAAAAGAGTAAATTTTTATAGAATGTAACAATTAGCAATGGAGACATACAAAGTTTTATCTATAGACTAGTAGAAAATTTAAAATCATAATAAAATAAAGCCAGTCTATTTCTGCATAATAAATATATTGCTTCCCCTCTTCTTTCAGATTGAATTAAAATTATGCAAGTTAAGGATATCTTACAAACAACAAAGAATCTTAGTTTAGAAAATATTTGTGAAGGAAGTTCTCCTCGCTAGTTTCTGTTTCTGAACAAATGATTTGGAAAAAACCCTCTTCAATGGCTCCTCAAAAATAGAGGATCTGCAGTCCAGTTCTTGTCTCCACATTACTTTCTTGTCTCACAAACAGAAAAGACCTGACCCTGTGGTCAGCCAATCGGTTCCATTAAAGAGTTTGATCAGGAGTTCCTATATCAGAACAAATGGAGAAAAAAAAAAAGCAGAACAAAGAGGTGAAATGGACACCTTGCACTCCTGATGACAGAAAAGGAGTTTCTGAGTCACGCAGAGAGCTCTCAACACCCTGATCAGATGGAGACAGGATATAGCACTATCTGAACACATGCTCAAAATGCTTTGGAGAGAAGAAGTTATATCCAAACTGCTGCTGTAGGCAGGAAGGTCATGCTGGGATTATAATCAGCTGTGTGAATGAGCACAGAGACATACCACATTTGGCTAGATGATTTTTTTGTTAAGACTTGCCAGTGGTACAGGGGAAAAAATTGCCCTTATAATGAAAATTATCTCATTTGTAGCTCTGTGATAAATAGTATTTATCATGAATCTTTGATTCCTCATGCTGCTATTGCAGCTCCTCTGGGATGGCATTAATGTACCATTTCTCTCCATGGCTCCTACTTATCTCAAACAGCCTCTGCTACAAACAGGGTTTTTACCCCTGGCCTGTGAAATTTCTTGAATTATCTGATAAGGGCCAGTTTCAGCCACAATCACAGCAGGTCCAGGATTCTGCCCAAATGTTATGAAAAAATTTGGGTCAACTGCACTATACACAGCAGTGTGAAGATAAGGGTTTTACTGAAACTTCTTTGCAGATGCATATAAAAATTGAGCATAGCTTCATCATTCAGTAGAAGCACACTCATCTCATGCAATCAAAATCATCAAAAGGGATTGTACAGAAAGGAGTGTGTATTTTTAAAAAGTTATCTTTAACTAAGGTCTAGCACCAGACAAAAAAAGTGAATATTTAAGGAAGTTAGACAGCAGCACATCTTAAAAAACAATAATTAGCACACACTAGCTTATATTTTCAAAGCATTTTACAAAAACATGAATTAATTAAGCCTCACAACACCCTTGTGAGATAGTTAAGTATTATTAGTCCCATTTTAGAGACAGACAAACAGGCATGAAGAGAGTATAACCTGCTCACCACCACACATGTCAAATCCAGGTACAGAACATCAGATTTTCCATTTTTTGCCATGTGTAGTCAGATCTCTTAAAAGCTTCTGGTCTTTAATTTAAATGGTTTCCTCTCATCTCTTTTAAGACACCTGTACTTATTTCAGTCTGATATGAAAAGGTACTCACCAAGTGGTATTCAAAGAATCACTGAATGGTTTGGGTTGGAAGGGACTCTAAAGAACATCCAGTTCCAACATCCCTGCCATGGACTGGGACACCTTCCACTAGACCAGGTTGCTCATAGCTCCATCCAACCTGGCTTTGAACACTTCCAGGGATGAGGCATTCACAGTTTCTCTGGCAAGCTGTTCCAGTGCCTCACCACCCTCACAGTAAGGAATTTCTTCCCAATATCTAATTTAAACCTAGCCTCTTCCAGTTTAAAGCCATTAACCCTTGTTCTATCACTACACACTCTTGTAAAAAGTCAGGAGAGGTGCTCCAGCCATCTGATAATCTTTGTAGTCCTCCTCTGGACTTGCTCTATTATGCTGGGGGCCACAGAGCTGGACACAGTACTCCAGGTGGTCTCATAAGAGCAGAATAGAGGGGAAGAATCACCTCCCTTGACCTGCTGGTCATGCCTCTTTTGACGCAGCCCATGATGCAGTTGGCTTTCTGGAAAAGTAATCAACTCATTCCAGGAACCTCCTGAATTGCTTATGCCCTGCTGTGTTGCCTCTTCAACAGATATGAGGTGGCTGAAGTCCCCCATGAAGACTAGGCCTTGTGAACAGAAGGCTGAGGGTTTCATCTACTGTCTTCCTGGCTGGGTTGCGTGTAGCAGATCCCCTCTGTCACCTGTCCCTGCCCTCCCTTTAATCCTGACCCATAAGCTCTTGATGTGCTCCTCATCCATCCCTAGGCTGAGCTCCATGCACTCGGGATGGCGCTCCGTGCTCTCCAACCAATCACTGACATAGAAGTGACAGCTCCTCCTTGCCTCCAGTGCCTGCTCTCCCTAAAGGGCCTCCATCCTTCCATTCCAACACTCCAGCCATAGGAGTTATGCCACCCTGTCTCTGTAACAGCCCTGCATGCCTGAGCACACTGCTCACAACAAACAAGCAGAATTAGGAAAAACATTTTTTATAAACTCTGTGTTACTGGAAGCTGTTTAACAAAAGACTTGTCATCGGTATTTCCATACTGCCAGTGTCACTTCTCATCAGGCACCTGCCATCTGGAAACTTGCTGAGGCCTATCTGTAATGCTGGGACAGCTCAGAATCCAAAAAAAAAAAGGCTTCTTTACTTCTTCCCTACAAGGAATCTCTCTCTGGCAAGGAGTCTTCTCTAGAAAGAACTCTTATGAATACAACTGCACTGAAAGCAAAGAAAGATTTTTATTGAGAAGACCCTCACCAAATCACTAGGCTGGAAGAGACCTTCAAGATCATCAAGTCCAACCCAGCCCTAACACCTCAACTAGACCATGGCACTGAGTGCCACATGCAGTCTTTTTTTAAACATATCCAGGGATGGTGACTCCACCACCACCCCAGGTAAAGTATTTCAATACTTTATCACCCTTTATGTAAAAAACCTTTTCCTAATATCCAACCTACATTTCCCTTGGCGCAGCTTAGGACTGTGACCTCTGGTTCTGTCAGTTGCTGCCCGGTGAAAGAGACCAACCTCCCCCAGACTACAACCACCTTTCAGGGAGCTGTAAAGAGTGATAAGGTCACCTCTGAGCCTCCTTTTCTCCAGGCTAAACACCCCCAGCTCTCTCAGTTGTTCCTCACAGGGCTTGTGTTCCAAGCCTCTCACCAGCCTCACTGCCCTCCCCTGGATGTGCTCAAGCATCTCAATGTCCTTCCCAAACTGAGGGGCCCAGAACTGGACACAACACTCAAGGTGCCTCACCAGTGCTGACTACAGAGGAAGGATGATCTCCCTGCTCCTGCTGGCCTCAAGGTAAAGCTAAGGGCACAAATGTATGTCAGAAAAATCTAGAAACATTCATCTATTGTACTTTTGTTGCCTTTCTCGGAACTCACTTTATATGAGAAATGGTCTGGAGGCATCAGACATTCTGGGAGCAAGAAAATGATTCTTTATAGTCACTTTGAGAAGACAAGTTCCCTTACTATATCACTCTTGCCCTGAACTAGTAAGTGACAGAGTAGGATTAAACTTCCAAACTACCTGAAAGTTCAAAGATTTAACTCTACAAACCACCAAATTTAATTTTAACTGGCAAATCTGGCAGATCTACTGCTGCCTTTTTGCAAACCCAGGCCCCAGGTGTTAGTGGAGACGTAGAAATAAAAATAGTCTTTCCATCTTCAGTTACATATGTCCATTAGACACTATCCAGAGTCCAGGAAGTTAGTTTCATGACAGCTTGATCTGAAGATCCTCCCCATACTTTTGGATCAACTTCACATGGTTATGGTCCACCGACCATTGCTCTGGGAGGTGTTTGGGCTTCATGCTGTCCAAGAAATGCTGCCGCCAGCGTCTTTCCAGCTGCATGAGAGAGCGCAGGCCTCCTTTAGCACAACACTGCACCACCTTCAGTCCATGTGGCACGTAGCTCTCATTGCAGATCCTGCCAGGACACAAGCACAATTTATTTTCACACAAGCCCGCTGTCAGACTCCAGATCTGTCTCCAGTGAACAGCAAGACACTGAAGATACTTTCAGCTGCAGAGTTTAATTATAGAAAAAGGGTAAGCTAACCAAGAGGGAGAGTTTTAAGCTTTGCTTCAATGCCAGACTGGTTTCTGGAACACAGTTACACTGTAAAGCTGGTTTCTCTGAATGGAGAAAGTGTTCTTCTTTACAGCAACACTAAACAAAGCTCTTAAGGTCCATTACAAGCTCCTCAGGAGACTGAAAATTTCTCAAGGCAAGAATTATATGACCCTTCAGAGTGCTGAGCCTGTCACTGAATTTCCTGCCTGGATGAGTTCTGAGTTACAACATCTGCACTTTACAAACAACAGCGAGCATAACAAGGAGAAGATACTCATTTCAAACAGAGACTAGACACTTGTTAAGAAAAGATATTTGGGGAGACTTTGAGAAAGTGAAGAAGACTTCTGATATGACTGTCCTTCAGACTCTTTTCCTGATCTGTCCTTCCAAAGAAGTATAAAAATGTTGGAGGAGAAGATGGAGAGCAAGAACAGAAGACTGGTGAGGAGGAAGAGAAAGCGGGAAAGAAACAAGAGCTGCAGTTCAGAGACCAATGGTGGGTTGAGGGGAGATGGGTATAAACAAAAACAAAACCAGTAAGAAATGCAATACAAGCAACTAAAAACCTTACACTCAGCCTCCATGGGCTTGCTATACCTGGTTTCCAGATCAGCTGCTGCCTGGAGCATCTCTGGAGTGACTGTGTCTGTGTTATAGAAGTCCTTGATGCCTTGCAGCAGCTCTGCCCTGCGGGGGTCAGGCAGGCTGTCTGCATTCAGCAGGGCGCGCGCCCCCGAGCGCACTTGCCTGCGCAGAGGGTCCTCCAGGAGACGCACGCCCTCCTCGGAGCCAATGGGAGCCCCAAACTCCTGGGCCAGCTGCTGCTTCAGGTGGTTGTCATAGTAATTGGAGATGGCATGGCAGGATGTGCAGAGGAGGAGCACATCGTGTGAGTTGTGGTCTTTCATCTGGATGGGGAAGTGTCTTCGGTATTCATGAGGAACAACATTCTTCCTAGAGAAGACAAAACAGGCAGCTCATTGCATTTGTCTGGAGCTGCTGCTACCCAGTTCCTCCTCTTCCTGCCCCAGAAAGGGTCAGCTAAAACTAGAAGTCCAGGTAAGCAAAGATTACCAGGACATGTACTACAGAAAGTGATTATTTTTATTATTTTCTGCATGTCTCTTTTGTCTTTTCCAAAAATTCATCACTTTCAATTAAAGATTCATACTGTAAAAAAAAAACCCTAAAAATCAAGTAATGCACTATGAGAAGTATACTTCTCAACTAATCAGTAGCAGACAAAAAGACAAAGAGAAAAATCTTGTTCTTTTTGACCTCATCAGCTTTAGGCTCATCTAAACCTTTCAAAAGTAAAGGATTAAGTAGTGGAAGGAATAGTACAGCTCTTTTCGGATGGGTATGCCACCCACCCAGTATGTGTCAGCACACGGCTGCCCCTGTCACTCAAACTGCAGCACATACATGTTCCACAGGCTTTGATCTCTCCTAGGATCAGTATCTCCTGCCTCTGTAAGAGGAAAGGCTGGTCCCTTCAGTGTCTCACACAGCCAAACAACTGCAGAGCACTCAAACAGTGTCCCATCCAGGACATGAAGGAGCACAATGTTTCAGGCCACTAACCAAGCCTCTGGATGCCAAAGTTGATGCAGACCTCAGCCCTGTTTTAGAAGATGCAATTTCCTCCTACCCACTAAACAACTCACCGGATATAGGATTCTCGCTTGCCACACACAACACAGAGGTTTTCTTTGACTGTCAGATAATAATCAACCTGGGACTCAGGACGTCCTGAAGGCTCAAAACGCAGCTTCACAACAAAAGGGTCTGTGCTAACTAGCTCTAAAAGGATAAAGGCAAAGAGAAAATATTCAAGACAAATTGTATTGGTGAGCTAAAATAACAATGCTACAATGTAAGACTCATCCTAGAGAATCCCCAACAGTACTTCCAATAAGAAAGGATACCAAAAAAATCATGCTCCGTTAGGAAGATGAGAGAGAGGAGAGAGAGGGGGGAGAGAAAGAAGAGAGAGAGGAGCATTTCAAATACCAACAGGAAAATGGTATGCCTACCTCCAATCCCCTTGTCCAAATACCACTGAGCCTTCTTGCGATCACAAGTGCACAGGGGCTGTCCATCTGGTGCATGCAGGAAGCAGTTGTCATACAGTGGAGATTTTCTATGAAACAAGGCCAGTATTACAGCGGCTATAATAGCATGCAAAAAACCCCAGAGCTTTCTATAGCCCTGTGTGCCACACTGCAGTTCAGGCAGCTTCCTCTGAATCACAGGAGTACCCCTAAACACAAACTTTGAGGCTGCTGAGACTCCATAGTCTGCTGCTTAGGGAAGCAGTACATCTGAAAATTTATCCAGGGTTCACCAACTGACTCTAAGGTATCTTTGCTCTCCTGCTGCCAACAGAATTGTAACTCTTGAAACTCAATTTTCAAGAGATGCCATCACTGAAGACAGCATTTAAAAAAAATTGAAATAGAAAACAAAAGAGAATTGAAGTTACAAAAGAGAGTAAGCTCAAAGAGAGCATTAACTTACAGGCAAGGCACTTTCAAGGATCGGCTTGGATTGGATTTTAGTGTTTTTTAATGAAAACTTTTCTAAAATTTAATGTGAATAGCAATTACTTTATTCACTCAAGAGAAATGGTCCAAAACCACTCCTGCACTGGGAACCTGAACACATGAGTTCAGCACTGGGAACTTGAACATATGAGTTCAGGAGAATAACAAAGCTGAGCTGATGCCCTCAAACACAATCTTTGGCAGTGACAAGAAGTCCTGTGTGAGCAGTCTCTGGCAGATTGTGGCAGTGTATGGAAGGGCTCTGTTTTGCAGAAAACATTCCTTACTCTGCCAACCTCCTTCAAACAAAATTGAAGCATGGAGCAGGCTGGGCTCAGAGAGGACCTGGCCAGAGATGTCACAATACACTGCAGAAAAGTTTCCTTTCCTCTCTACAGCAAGATTGTACAAATTAGTTCTCAGCAGAGCTCTACCAGTTAAAAAGGTTGATTCATAGGCTATCTCCTTCCACTGAGCATCCACAGCTCAACTCAGCCACCATGATCATTTCAGCACTTCCCAACTCTAAATGAATAAACATTAAAACTTAACAGACTTAAACAGAAAGGAAGAGTGAAAAAGGACTTTTGAAACCATATCCAGTGTTATCACAGACTAGAACCACATTGCAGTAAATACTGTAAAAAGCAGTGAGTCTACAGATCTCTCATGAAGTCAAGCACAGTTAAAAACAAAAAGTAAATAAACATATATGGAGAGATCTTAATTTATCTTGGAATGTAATTTTGTTTAAATTTTAATCCTCCCATGAAATGCAGTCCTCCTGTTTTGTATTACACAGCCTCAAAAAAAAAATTAAAATAAATATGAGGGTCTTGTTCTGTAAAACAGAATACTCTTCATTACTGCTAATGAAATCAATACTATTGACTACACTAAAATTTCTCCACTGCCAATCCAATAAACTTGAAAAAAAGAAAACAAATACAAAAATTTATTTGTTTCCCAAAGATATTTTCATGTAATTTTAGTTATGTCCAATCACAAATTTTATTAGATTGTATCCTAACAAAAGCAAACATACAGATACCCCAGATCTTCCACTGCACTGAGCTTAAAGCAACTTTTCCAACTTGTTTTTAATTTAAAAACAACTGAACTCTTGCTAGCAAAAGCTCCTAAGAATTTAGGATTCACTCCAAAAAATCACCTGCAAGGATGGTAATCCTGAATCCAGCAATAGCTGTGGCTGCAAGGCTAAAGCATCACTTTTCCTTCCTCTTGCCCCCTGGCCAACAGATAAGGGCACTGCTTTGCTGCTACCACAGGCTATTCCTCCCTGTACCCTCTGGCTCCTCACATAACATGTCTTACCCCTGCTAACCTCAGCTTTCAGCCTTGCTAGCTCTGTGGCTATGGTGACATGGGACAGAAAAGGAAAAACAACAGTCCAAGAGGCAGATCCTGATGAAAGGACAAGCTCTGTGCAGTTGTCACCTTTTCCTTGGAGAAGACAGGGCACAGCTGTTTGAGCAGCAGACTCACAGAATCACAGAACATGCCAAGTTGGAAGGGACCCCCCAGGATCATTGAGTCCAACTCCTAGCCCTGCTCAGGACACCCTGGACACCCAAGAACAACACCTGGAAAGCCAAATGCCTCCTGCTAGGATTCTGCTCTCTGGCTAATGCTTCCACACGGGAGGGAGGGAGGGAGGGAGGCAGGAAGGAAGGCAGGAAGGCAGGAAGGAAGGAAGGAAGTGAGGGTAAAACTTAAAGACACCACCTCAACTTGGTCATGATCTAAGTAGAGATCTAAGTGCTGCCCCCACTTTCAATATCACCTAGAGGAAAATGAGGAAAACAGAAACAGGATCTGACCCCCATGACTGTTAGGTCCTGTGTTGCCTTTCCTAGCTCACATGAGCTACTTTGTTTAATGACTAGAGCATGAGGAAACACTCAGGGTTTTCCACATGCAATGCAAAGAGTAAGATGTGCTCATACACTCACCTTGCAGAATATCCCACACCCAGAGGCTTTCGCTTCTGCCTCCGTGGATCTCTCATTTGCTGATTGCCAGAGGGTTGGCCGTTCACCCAAGACTTCCGATTCTTTGTTTTCTGAGGGGAACGTCCCTCTCCACTCTTCTCCTCTCCTGTGCTGCCACTCTTTCTTCCTCTAAATGGGATATCCACCAAGCCCTGGCATTTACCCCGGGCTTTCTCCCAAGCAGTGACAGAGTTTTCACCTTCAGATGTAGCAGGGAAGCTGGTAAATCCCAGCAAACGGAAGAACAGAGCCACTGAGACCTGGGCATCCCTAGCAGCATAGAGAACCTGCAGAAAAGCACAGAAATTAAGATACTGACAAACAGCAAATACTCCCAACATTATCAGTCTTTAGCACAAGGTACAGTAAAACCAGAAGCTGGATTCATTTCCTTTTGAAGTTCACATGAAGTTTTGCAAGTTTGAGTGGCACTTTCATAACAACACCACATCCCACTACCTTGAGGTAGTGCCCCCAGGAACTGCAAAATGTATTTAGGTCAGACATCCTCACATCCCACCAATCCCTCCTTCATAAAAAGTTCCCTTTTGGCACACTGGCTAAGAGTATTCAGCACGGTTTTTTGTCCTGTCACTCCCTCTGCTGGTCATTGCTTCTGCAGGCATGTGCAGCTTGACTAAAGAAACTGGGCAGTCGGGGAAAACTCAGTGCTCTAAAGAAGGTGAACAAGATTTCCAGGGTCTCTCTAATATTGCACTGACTGCTACAGACTGAAGAAAATAATAAAGAGGTGAGGTTTTGGAAACACTTCTTCAAGATATCTTGTCTCATAGATCTTTCAGGACTAAAGGAAAACAGGGTAAAGAATCCAGGGAGAATAGCAGAAAATTATCTTAAAGGGAAAGGAGGGGAATGCAGGCAGTGAGTCTGAAATTAACTTTAGGCCCTGTCACACATAAGGGTTTGAGGAATAATCTGAAAAGGCTCAGATCTCCCTGTTGTAAAGCCTCTTTTGCAACTAAGAAGGTTACTTTTCTTCCCAAAACAGTAAATTGAAGTGGGGAACACACCTGATCTTGTGTCAGTTCTTCTGCTTCCCAGTTGCTGCAACGCACATGAGGAGATTTGTCAAGTGGGAAGTTCAGGACTTTTTCAGCTAAAGACTTAAGGCTAAGGCAGTTGTGAAGTAGATCCTTCCTTCAATTCAACAAAGAAAGTGAAACAAATATATTAAAAATGAAACTATACACTCATGCAAATTCAGATGGCCTCTGAAGAGAACCTGTGAGAACACAATGCACATGATGAATGACTCAAACAGCACACAGCTGCCTCTCAGCTTTACAGGCCCTCTCACCCCCTCTACTAAAATGTTCTTTCTAGATTTAGTAATTATCTTGTGTCTGCAATATGCAAAGCAGGCAAGGCTGGAGTTAGTAACATTTAAGGCTGAAGTGTTTGGCTCTGAACTACTCCCTTCTGAACTAAAGAGGCCCATCATTCAGTGATGGACCACTTGTCTGAGGGATTCATGAGAAGCCCAAGAACCAGGAAGAATCCCGGCCACTGGAGACAAGAAGTCCATCCTCAGTGTTAAAAAGGCACCAATAGGTCAGCAAAAGTGTGGCCCAGATCACTAACACCACATCCAGGCACACATATAATTGTACATGAAGAATATTTGCAAGTAAAACATCTTGTTTCAGGAAGAGTAAAAGATAAGAAAATGGCATCCATCACAAGTGTAACCTTTCCATAGAAGAATTGTTATTAAAAGAGAAAATTGGAACTGGTTTATTTAGTAACATTTCAAGAAATTTTGAAATTCAGCAGTTCCATTTACATCCCCTGTGCACATTTAACTCACACTTCTTTTCCCTGTATTCAAACATCTGCTGACACAGTGTTCATTCTTACTGCATTAAATCACTGTGCCTGGACTTCTTAAAAGCTGAAGCATGGTACACAGAGAAGTCCACAAAGGTATCAGTCTGTGAGAGAAGACTAACGGACACAATTAGCAAATGAAATCCTCATTAAGATTTCATTTCCCTTAAGATCACAGAATAGAAGCATGACAGGCTCTTGGGCTACAGCTATCAATGCCCATTTTCTAAAGCCACCCTAAGAATTCCAGACATACCAGCCTGATATCATTCAGCTTATGCAAATCACCTAAGATACATTTCCAGCTTTCCAACAAATGAGGCCTCAAGCAGACCTACCTCTGTGTTCAGGCACTTACCGCTGTCTCATGGCTAAATACCGGAGATCCATGCTCCCTTTGACTGGAAGACCATAATCATGAAGCAATTTGCAAGCATCTTCCCAGCATCCTACCCCAACTTTCAACACAGCACTATCTGCCATGATGTCCACCAGGGTCTTTGGAAGAGTCTGGCCACCAGCAACAAGCCTGGGCAACCGAAGAAGAATGCAGAGGCCACTGGAAGAAGCCATCTGCAACAGGGATACAGGATTTGCTTTTCCCTCCACAGATACCTGTAATGAAATAAAAAATGAAAGTCCAGGTTATTGTATTATTAGTAATACCAGAGCTGAAGCAAATTACAAAAAAGGCCACTGAAAGCAGGAAATACTTATCAGTTTACACAGTATTGTATTACACAGTATTGTCTACACAGTAAAGTATTGTTACATGTCTCTAAAAATTCATGGCAAATTGTGTGGTCTTTTTCACAGTATTACTGTGCCCAAGCTACTTCTTGCCACATTCCCACATGACGATCTTTCCCCCTTTCACCCTTCCCCTGCATAGCTGAGCTGGTAGAAGAAATCAGAAACATTTCTGAATCCACATCAACACAAAGCCACCCACTATATAAATGCGTATGGCAAATACATTGCTTAGCTGTGGCTTATACTAATGACTGTGGGGTGAGTAAATTTCCAGTCAAAACAATGGCAAAGCCAGGCTTTATAAATTACTTTAAGCCTGTTTGAGATATCACACATACAAATGTACAAGCAGAAGAGGAACTTTGTTTTCTCGTTGTCCCAGTGAGTTTTATCTATGTATCAGCATTATCCTCCTTTTCGGACTTAACATTCTTAAGATATTGTTTCTTAAATACGTAGCTAGATTTAAAATAGCGTAAGCCAAGCTACTTCTAGTAAATCACCTTTAAAGAGATATTACACCAAACACATAATGCTATATTTAGCCATACAACTGTTACTATATTTATTAAAGTCGACTTATGACGGAACTCAGGAAACAAATACAACTGGTGAATCAAAAACTTAGCATATTTAAACGTTAAGAAGAAACAAAATTAGCATCTGCTTCACTGCCATCATGACAGACAATCACAGTTTCAATAGTCAACACACCGTGGTATCTGTTTAAGCAAAGAAATTGCTCCACCTTCAATGATTTCCCCATGCAATTTGCAATCTAAAGGAAGGAGAGGCGCTTCTTGATCACTCACCCATTCACAATCAATTCCAAGAACCGGCCACTTCTCCAGCTCCTTCTTCAGCAATGGTTCAGCATGATCCCACTCCTCCTGCTCTGAAACTATCACTATGTCTGCACCTAGGGTCCTCTCTATCCAGCAAAAGGTGGGAGATCTGAAGAAGGAAAGCACCTTCTTATCCTCTGCTTTAATGAGTTTCTCATCTCCTGACTTTCCTGCTGCTTCCTCTTGCTGACTACTACAGCGTGTTTTTCCTTTCCGACGCTGGGTCGCTTTCCACAAAACCAGGCCCCCCAGTGCAACACCCAGCAGGGTCGCCAAAGTAATCGTCACGGCTGTTTGCTTGGCCATTTTTTATTGCCCTTTCTCCTCTTCACCTCATCCTCTCAAAACAGCATCGTGGGATTTCATCATGGCCTGCAGTGAAAAATAAGAGAGGAAGAAATTAAAGACAACTTAATAAAATGGGTTTAGAGATATTAAACACATGCAATGCTATCACAACAAGGTTCTAGCCATAACTTGTAATCCTGACAGAAAAAAAGTTCCGGGTCCCACTTTGATAGACTGGGGGCCTGGGGACAGACTGCTGCAGTGATGCATTCGGCAGGAAGAGGAGACTGAACGCTGCTGTTGATCACACCACTAAAAACTTTAAAGGGAATCCATTCAATTAAACTGGTGCAACTTCCACAAACTCTGCTATTCCAAAAATAACCTAGTCACGGTTATTATCAACACCTTTAAGTTCAGTTTGTAAGTAGATCAACCTAAACAAGGCCAAAATGAAATTGCTGCGGAATAAGCATGTCAGTTCACGCATTAGTAAATAAGAGGCATTTATTTGTCCATCACATTCACAACCATACTAAGGTCAAATGGTCTTTAGGCACTGAAAAGCCCTAAAACAGCAGCATCTTACTTAGCTGTCCCTCTATCATACAGAAGTTTAGTACCCCTTCAATAAACTGAAATCAGTTCTGCTCCTCCATCCCAGCCCATCACGTTGTTTCTAAAGGGCTGTCCTTGCGCTCGCTTCCTCACAAGGAGAAGTTCGGGTGTCGATGCTACTCCAGCATCGATGCTGCACAGCCGCTCCCAGCACCCCGAGCACGGCCCGGGCACCTTTCCGAGCACCCCCGAAGCAACAGGTCGTCCACGGCCACCCCGTAAACTGAGTGCCAACACCAGGGGCATCGAGCCCGCCCGCAGCCCTCTCCCTCGGTCCAACAAGCCACTGCCCCTCTGGGAACCGGGGGTGCCTGTGATCCTTGTGCGGGTCCCCCGCCGAGGCAGGAGAAGCCCCGGTAAGACGCCCCGGCCCCCGCTCAGCCCCGGCGGCAGCGGCGCGCCGAGGCCCGGGGGCGGGCCCAGGATCCCAGCCGAGCGCTCCTCCGGGCCGCTGCCAGGCCCGCCGGGATGGGGCAGGTGGGGGCGTCCGCGGCTCCCCTCGGCATCAGGGGGAACGCGCTGCCCGCTTTAGGTTCGGTCGCGGTTATCTACCCCGGGAAGAGGCCCGAACGCCAGGACCGAGCATGCGGAAGGCCGCGGGTGCACCGGACCGCGCACCGGGGCACCTGCAGCCGCAGACTCGGCCTCTCCGGGATGCGCGCAGCAGCCTCTCCCCCGCGGCCGGCCCTGCCGCCCGCCCGCGGCCCCGCCGGGCGCCCACCGATCCGCCCGCTGCCTGCGTCCCGCGGAACGGCTGCGTCCGGCCGCAGGAACGCCCCGCGGGGCAGTCGCCACACACACCGGGAGCCTTAGAGTGGCGGACGCTTCCTCTGTGGCGGCGGTGCGAGTGGGCGGCGGGCGCCGCCATGTTGTACGGCAGCTAGTGGCGGGGCGGCTGGGCAGGCGCCAGCGTGCCTTCAGACGGGCAAAATGCTGGCAGGAATACTGAAAATCCGGCTCTTTTTAAAGCGGGTTTTGGAGTGAAAAGTGCGGTGTGTTGTCTGCGACTAGGGAGGGCTTGAGGAGCGAGCCGCAGCGGGCGTGAAGTCGCCCACATGTAGAGCACCGCGAAACCCCTGGGGCAGGAGGGACCAGATAGAGTGGGAAGTAAAGAACAAAGGCAGCCGGGAAAATAAATAGCAAAAAAAAAAAAAAAAAGCAAATAAATAGCAGCCACCTCCAAAGTGGCAAACTGGAAGAAAACAAAGAGGGAACAAATCAAATGGAGACTGTTAAGAAATTATCAGAGGAACATGTCACTTAATCATGAGAAATAGGAATGTTAGAAGTGACACCACAAAACCTGGACAGTGAGTATACAGGCAGATGCTGTATCCAGAGTTTCGATCGTCAAGGTTTGAGGTCATCCCTGTTAAAAAGCAAACGAGTTTCCAGCCCAAACTCCTTTCCAAAGAGGAGGATCTGAGCACCCAATTTCTTCGAATTCCTTTGCAATTCTCAGTAGCTCCCAGATTTTGTGCTGTTAGCTTTCCACCGAGCTGCATCTATTTGAAGTAGAGACTGAACCCACAGAAAATACTGTGCTAAATCAATTTAACGGCATCAAACTCTGTTTTGTTTTAACTTTGCCACTTGTAGTCATCACAGTAGGAGGATGTCCCAAGCAGAGATTTGGTATTTAGCAGACCTGTTGTCAAAAGAGTGCAACAAAATGGCTAATGGTTGGCACTGGCAAAAATCTTCTATAGAAGCAGTATTTTTCTCAGTCTGTAACTCATCTTTATTTCCCCCCTTCTTTTTTTTCTTAACTCAGGAATGAGGTACTCAGACATCCTGATAGCTCACAAGGAAAACAGGTGATTTTCAGAACACTTTTCTGAGCAAATAAGGGCCTCTCCTTATCAGAAATAAGATATCAAGGCTAATAAAGGTTAAGCAGCTACTTGTTCTAATGACCTGATCTATGCCAGCATGGTGTGGCTGTATCAGGTCTCACTGGTGCTGGAGTAGGATCAGAGTTTTGTTTTCCATTGACTTGCATCTGTATTTTGAATGTACAAATACAACATGTACAAATGTACAAACTCAAAGTTCAAATGTACAAATACAAAAACATAAGTGTTTCTGCAAAGCCTCTCAGTCTTGCTCTATAGTGACGAGACATGGATCCATTTTCGTACTAATTCACTGAGTTACGAAGCATTGCAATCTCACTGCAGTAACTCACACCTTGTCTCTGCTTCATTCTGCTCTAGAGGGAAGGTCTGCATCTCCCTTTCAGTCACACCCTGGCCCCAGCTTCTCCATCCATCCCTGTGCTCGATGCACCATGCACAGCTGACCAGCTGAACTGCAGGTCACCATGCAGGAGCCAGCACGACTCTGAAGTTGCTCACATGACTTGTGCTCAGAAGAAAGGTGCATCATGTGCATGCTCAGGAGAGAAAGCTGGAGGGGTCTGGCAGTACCTGAGTTCCCACAGTCAGATGGACATGTTCTGCCAGTTTATCTCCCTCTCTCTTCCCTTCACACATATCCCTTAAGGTATAGTGCTTTGTTTTGCATGGTCATTGGAATCTAGCATAAACCTGGATTGCCACTTGGATGGATAGTCCCATGTTTCCTGTTGTACCTGTGACTGACTGCTCACTCCCTGCTCCCTTGCTCCAGCACCCACATATCTGTAATGACAGGGTCAGAAAATCATGGAACTGATCCATCTGTAAACTAGTTCAAGGACAAAAGGTGACACCTGGGGGCACAACAGACATTTCAAGGCCCAAGTGATTGGAAAGAGAACCAAGATGATGCAGCTGGGCTCCAGGATCCAGCTGCCCTACTGTGGGGTAGGCAAGGCATCCTTAAGACAACTCTGTCAGAGCTCAAGATAAGCACAAAATACTGAACAAATCTGCAAATAAATTGTTTATTTTCATTTCTAAAGTAATAGAAGCGTAAAGTTACAATAGATAAAAATTAAAATACCCCAAATACCCCAATATTTATTTTATATAAAAGAAATAATATTTCTATAAAATAATTTCTATTTTATTACAAAGTGAAAACCTCACAGAGAAGATGCTAGCTTTTCTCCATGTAAGAGGAATGTATCCCTGGTTGCATTTAAAGCCTTTATTTTTCATGGCATCACTGACATTGCAGAGTCCTGTAAGCCATAAGTCTCTTTAACACCTTGTCTTAAATCTACATAGCCATTTATTCAAGTATAAAGATTAAATTAAAAATAAGTGAAAGCAACTGATGCATGAATGCACTCTGGCAAAAAAACAAACCAAAATCAAACCAAAACCCAAAAAACCAACAAACCAACCAACCAAAAAACACCCCAAACCAAACCAAACAAAAACCAAAAACCCAAACAAACAAACAAACAAAAACAAACCAAAAACCTCCCAAAAACCAACAAAACAACAACAAAAAAACCCACCAAACAAACCAAAAAAGCCAAACCAAAACCAAACAAACCAAAAGTTCCCAAAACCTGATAGGGACGTTGCTGAAGATGACAAGATAACCAAGTGAGTAAACACCAACTGCTGGCTTAGCCTTACTTATAAGAAATCTGTTACAGCAGGTAAAGGGAAGCCTTTGTATGGTAAACAGCAACATTTACTTTTCTGTGTCTGTAGCCTGATGTGAGGTCTCTGTCAAAAGACTAATTTTTAGCCTGATTTCCTAAGGAAAGAAGGGTTATGAAATTACTCTATGTTGGTGTTTCTGCCTCTCGGTCCCATTACTTCCCCCACTTTCCTTGCCAAAAAAGCATGTTTAAACCATTGCTAAATTCCGTCTAAATTTGTACAAAGGTAACAAGTGAAATGCAAAGCCAAATGGATGAAAAAGGTCCTAAAAAAGCTGTCACTGATAAAATGGTAAGCATGTGCAGACGCTGCTTAGTATATGTATGAGAATCCACACAGCAGTACCACATCAGGACAAATCCATAGGAAACCAGGCTTCACTTGTTCTGCTGATCACAGAAAAAAGAATTATTTTTATAATGACATTAGCTCATCCTTTAGGAGGGAGAAGACTAGGGTAAATGAGTCAGTGTTCAAAGGAAAATCAATGATCATGGAATATCAAAGGAGAGAGGCTCCAGTGAAGACTTAAATTGCTGGTAGCAGACAATAAGCAGAGAGCTGCATGTAGTCCCCACTAGATCATTAATATCACTCTCTTTGGGGCCCCATCCCAAGCTACAGAAAAAAGCCAAACTCCCATTTCAACTTCTAATGTGATTTATCTTCCTTCTGTCAATGCTGGTAACACCATGACTATATATGCAAACAAGCTATTTTGAGCAGGGTTTGTTTTAACAGGGTTGATACCAGGAAAGCAGTAGTGTTTCTTTCCTCAAGAAGTCAGAATGAGAGCAGTTTCAATCAACTGTGAAGCCCCATCCTAAAGATGGAGTCTCATACTGCAACCAGGTGGATAGAAGGTTTAGCTTCTGTTCAAAAGGCAATTCTGCTTCCCCCTTCTCTCTGTCAGCATTCTTCTCCAGCCTCAATTCTGCAAATACTGGTGCCTGCTTGATTCAAGGAATTAAGTGAGCAGAAAGCTAGCACAGCAAAAAACTGGGTTTTCTTCTGGTTTAAATTCCTTGTACTAACCCATCATACAGCCAGATCTCAGTGAAACTACGTCTTTAGCCAAAAGATGAGTCAGTGGTAGCTCACTGAAGGGATCTGACAGAGTTTGCAGGTTTTGCAAAGAATCTGAAAAAAACTCAGAGGTGTAAAATGTCAGATAATCCCATGAGGATGAGTTGTATTAACATCAATCATCATCCATCATCATCAATGTATTTCTTCCTTAATTGCCTTTTCATTGCTTATATAGAAAGAGAGATTAATTTCACAATTCCATTTCTTGAAGAGCTTACCCCAGTAGTTCAGTCCAGAAGGCACACTGAGTCAGCCTCACTGTTTATGGCAGCTAAGAATATGACATCCCCCATCTCCAAAACTCATCTCCCAGCTGGGCACTCCAGACTAGTTTGTGCTGATTTTGGCACTCATTGGGACGCTTCCATGAGCCAAATAAACACATGGCAGACAAGCAGGTCCAGTAAGTAGCAGCATCAGCACAAAGAAAGGGACAGAACACAGAGCCACAGAAAAATAAAGCCACCTTTAAGTGGCCACAAATCATTAGATTGGCTTAGCTGCATGTTAAACCTACATAGCAGAACGGCAAGCCCCAAGGGGAGACATTTGAGAAAAAAGTCCTAGTTTTTCCTACCTTTCTGGTGTATTAAAGTAAGCAAAGGGAGAAAAGCCCAGAAGCCACCAAATTCTTACTAGAGGGAATAAATTACACAAGCAAAATTATTGAAAAAACAAATGATGTGGCTAAAATATGATGTAGTCTTCTTGGTTTACCCTTCCTTTCTATTGCCCCTCAAAAATAAAAAACATTGGTATAAATAAACAAATGAATAAAAGCCTTGACTCAGCTTCACTTTCCTAGTCATGCATTCATTCTCTCTGACTCACTCCATAGACATCCAACTATCAGTGTCCAAACTTCTCAGTTTCCACTCTGGATTAACCAAAGCAAATCAAAGGTTCAACAGAACGTCAAAAAGAGTATTTAAATATCATCCTTTCTCGCCTGACACAATCAATCATGCTTCACTTAAATCCTTGGTCTTCTGTTACCCTCCTACATTATCTCTGAGTTAGCTCTGGGGAAAGGAGCAGATCCATAAATCATCTGCAGAGAGATATTAATTTATTTGTATTTCAGATGAGATACCTCCCCCTATCCAAACTCAGAGTCTTCTCTCTTCTGTGAATGACTAGCAGGAAATTAGAGCTCAGCAGAGCTAGAACTATTCCCTGAAAGCCCTCTTATTATCTTCTTTGTGAGTGTCCGTGGATAGCATCACCAGTTTACCTGCCACTCAAGCTTATTTGTCAACTGTCAGGTCTGACTGAAATGTCTTTGTAGATCCTAGAACCCAGGGTATATACCACTTTGGCAGCTCCAAAACAGCCCTCCAAAACATCCTTGCAGCTAAGATCCTTGTTCTCTTATTGATATACAAAGACTGCCCTAATACCTCTCCCTTCAGTATTAACCAACACAGCTCCTAACACAACAGCCATTGACCAGTGGAAATGCCACAGGCTGACAACAGAGCAAAGCTGACCGTAGGCCTCCTATTAATGATCAAATACACCCCAGCCATCAAATAGAAATAACTAATGCAATTTAACTGATTCTCCTAATTCAAATTTGTTCAGAAAAATGTTGAAGGGATAACTTTGTACCAGTAGACAGTAAACACCAATCAGTTATTGTCAGTCCTTCCAGAGGCAGAACAAAAAATCTGTAGCATGGACAGAAGCTAATGTGAGTGTAATGTGACACCATGGCCATAGCTCATACAGATCAATTTAGTACTTCTGAGAGACTGAGCTCTGCACAACCTTGGAATTAACAACTCCGAAACTGCAACCCAAGATTTTTTACATAGATCATTAACCACATCACTTTTCTATTTTAAGGATTCTCCTAGTTCCCTCTTCTGTATTGCATCAAACATTATTTACTTACCTTCATTTCCAAGGGCATCTACAAGTCACCCTCCTGTTCATTATCTCCCATTTCCTTTCCAGTTGACTCCTCCACTCTGTTGCCTACTTGTTGAAATTCCAGGCAAAACATTTGTTGTGCTTGATTTCATGCTGTTTTTGAGATATGGAGGAGACTATGAACATGCTACAGAATTAAGCAGCTCAAGCAGTGTGTGCAGACAGACTCTGGCTTCCTGTGCCCTTTGAGTCTGGCCAGGCTCAATCCAATTTGGTCTGTGACAACCAGTCTCAGTACAGCACCCCCATGCTAACATGTCCCCCAGAACAGCAACTTGATGAAGTTTGATCTGTTTGACTAACTCCTGTCAGTACATCAATTCCATTGCAAGCTGCAGAATGTTCCTGTTAAAGGAGACAAAGATGCTTCACTGATGCTACTTCAGTATGACTCAGGACAAGAGTCTATGTGCTTTGGAGAGATAACAGCACTCTGGCTTTATTAACATAGACACCAGTCATTTTCCAAGGAAGATATCACCCTGTATAGGCCATGGTAACTTCCTTAGGTGTTATATTCAAAATTAATTCAAAGAAAGGAATCAAGAGAGTGAAAAGAATGCTTATCAGTACAGTTTTTTAACCTATATGGTCATGTCATTGAGCAGAACAGATTGACAGTCTGCTATAATTTTTCTTTTAAATTCTGACTGCTTAGAAATGTGATTTAAAAAACACCACAAAAACAAACAAGCAGAAAAACCCCAACAAAACAAAAACAAACTCAGTTAAATCTTTCTTAAAAATCCTGGAACTGGGGGCTCAGGAAATAGTTTTATTTCTATGCAAAACAATTTAAGTACACAGCTTTCCTAGAAACTGAATCCAGAATGTGGAGAAAAAGCACTGGAGATTTTATTATATTGCATATTTCTTTCAGTACAGAAACCAAAGGTACTCAAAGATATTCAACCTGAACAATACTTTAGGAAAGGGGAAAAAGTGAAATCTTGCTGAGTGCGCAACAGTTTCTGATATAATTATAATGGTGCAGAATGTCATGGCATACAAGCAACAAAGATATGAAATATGATTTTATAGCAATGTCTGAAGCTAAGGTAATAAACACAAACCACGATGGACAGTGTCTTTGCCTCTCTATATTGAGGGTGGCTAGACATGCTACATGGCAGTAGTTGGCCATCAACTGTAACTAGAAAACATCCTTATGTATAGTTCAGATTAGAAGAGATTAACTGCTTTGTTTTCACTTCAGTTGTGAAGCATTGTTAATTGTTAATGTTAACACTGTTAATGTAACTTCTTACATTCTTTTTTTACTCCCAATTAGAGGAGAAAGTTTTTTATTTACTTTTGTTTTGTGTTAAAATTAAGGCTATAGTGTTGTCAAATAAAAAGCTTGGTCTATGCAGGATTTGATGCTCTTTCTATAATCTTAACCAAGAAGAAACCCAAAGCACTTAACTGACTTTTTATAATGAAATAATTTCTATTTCTATGGAAAAGCTGTCACCGGAATTTGGCAGCAGTCTAAGAGTACTCAGTCATCTTGCCACATCACAGTTTATGTCAGGGCGGGTTTTCCCCATTGCTTATTTTAAAGTTTCAAGACTCCTAATTCCCAGCAGATGCAGTGCTACACAAAGATGGCCAGGATGGTTAGGCTAATTCCTCTCACCTTCTGAAAACTGTATCTTCCCTACGTAGTGGAGCCATAGGGAAATACAGACCTGAAAGTTCCAAGCTGCTCGTTTTGTGCACAGGCAGCATGCAGTCAGCTGCAAGGTGGGACTGGGGGTCTGTGCAGCACCTTAGGGACATCACCCTTTGAATGACACTCCTGTTGCCTGACATGGTATCAGATGTTACCTGAGAAGTACAGGGTCCTGTGAAAGAGAAAAGATATTCTTATTCCTGTAAGGTAAAGGTTGGGGTATTGTTAAACAGTGAAGGACAACACAGGTCACTTCCACCTGGTTAGTCAGCTGCGTTTTAGGGGTTAGTTGACACTGCAGGGTAAGAGAAGAAAATTTATCTGTACTTCGAGCAGTCTTCCAAGGGCTGCAGGAAGGTCTACTGACTCACTTGTGATGGGGCAGCCCCCCTCTTTTCAGTGTTGCTCGGGAAGGAGCAGCAGAAAGCAAGCTATGAAACCCATAATAACTATCATAGAGAAAACAACCACAAGAACAACAAAAAACCCTTCAAACTAAATTCCAAAGCCATAATGCTTTGAATTCCCGTCGAAATCACTCAGCATTTACAGAGGACAAGCCCCACTGCAAACCGCCCCCGCACTTGAGCTGTTTTTCCCCTCATCCTCCCTCCGGTGCGTTGCCCGCCCGTTGCCCCCAGGCGGGCCGGCCGTGGCTCCGGAGCGCTCCCTTCCATTCCCCGATCTGCGGGAGCACCTGCCTGCCCGCCCGCCCACCCGCCGCCACCTCCCCGCCGGCCGCGGGGCTGCAGCCGGCACGGGGCACTCAGCCGGGCCAGCCGAGCGGCGGCGGGACGCGTCCTCCCGCGGCTCCTCCGAGAGACAGGCGTACCCGTTCCCCCGCAGCTCCTCCGAGTGGCGAACAGGTCCTTCCCCAAAAAGGTCCCCGGAGCGGCGAGTGTGTTCGGCCCCCTGGAAGTTCCCGCAGCGGCGAATGTGTCCTTGCCCCAGGAGGTCCTTGGAGTGGCGAACGTGTCCGTCCGTCCCCGGAGTGGCGAACGTTACCGTACCCCCGCAGGGGCGAGGGTGTCTGTCCCCCGCGCCGCTCCAGCAGCGAGTTAACCGGCGGCGGCGCCACGCTAGAGCCGGGCCGGGAGGCGCGGGCTGCAGCTGAGGATCAGCTGCTGAGGGAAGCGGGGAGGAGCCAGCGGGATCAGGAAGCGGCGGAGTGTCTAACACCTCTCTGCCATGGCTGGCTAAAGAAAAATCATCATAACCATAACAAGGGGGGAAGCGGGGGAGGGGAGGCGGCGGCGGGGGAAGGGGCGGCGGGGGAAGGAGCGGCGGGGAGCGGCGCAGGCGGCAGCATGAGGAGGAGAGGCAGCCGGGGGGGCAGCATGCGGTCGGTGGTGGGGTTCCTGTCCCAGCGGGGCTTGGAGGGGGACCCCCTGCTCACCCACGACTTCCAGCGAAGACGCCTGCGGGGCTGCAGGAACCTCTACAAGAAGGACCTCCTGGGCCACTTCGGCTGTGTCAATGCCATTGAATTCTCCAACAATGGAGGCCAGTGGCTGGTCTCAGGTAAAGCGAACGCTCTCGTCCCTCGCCCCCTTCCGCCACCCCCTCCCCAGGAAGCATCTTCCTCCCCGGCCGCCTCCCCTGCGGCCCGGGGGAGGGAAGCCGCGGCAGCGCTGCTCAGAGCCGTTTGCCAAATCCACCGGTGCCCGGGAATGATGTTTTCTCAAGTAGGGATCTAAAATGGTTGACAGGTTTTAAATTCTACTATTATCGGGGGGGAGCCCTGGTCAAAGTTTTTACGAGAGTGTTTCCTGGGCGCTGGGGGTGGGAGCTAGGGGTGCCCCTTTATTTGATGGCTCGCGTGTCTTTCCTCTTAAAAGAGGATTTTCTTATTTTGGGGGGATGACGACGGGGAGAAGAAGCATCCCCACGGCGCTCATTGTGGGCACAGAGTGACATTTGTCAGCGCCGTGCCCCGGGCCGGGGGTCAGCAATCGCTGCCGGGGGCGGGCGGCGGCCCCGAGTTTGGCTGGGGGGGCTGCAGTACCACTCGGCATCGGGCGGGAACAGGATCGGTTTAATCGAGGGACTGGTCACTTTGGGGCCACCCCCACCCCATCTTGTTTTGGGGGAGGGGAGTCGGGTTTTGTTTTGTTCCTCCTCCCTCTCCTTGCAGGGCGCGTTTGTGAAAGAGGGGGATATATTTGTGGTGATGGTTTTTGGCTTAAGGTCCCCTCTGTTGCCTGCCCGGGGCTGAGGGAGCCGTAGGGGTGGGGGATGCTGTCAGGTAGGAGGGAGGCGAGGGCTTGACATCAGCTGCGACACCGAGGACGGGGAAAAGCTCTGCACCCCCAGCCAGGGAGGGGCTGCGGGGCTCGGCGGCCGGCTGACCGCCTCCCCCCACCCCAGCAGCGCTTGGTGCAGGTGTCTCTTCCTGCTTCCCCGCCTCCGGGCTCCGAGGGGCGGCAGGGGAAGGAGGCAACTTGAGGCCGGGGCCTGGCCGGGCGCTGCAGGCCGCGGTCTCCTCGGGCGGCTCTTAGCGACAGGCCGGGGAATCGCGGGCCGATCCCGCCCGCGGCGCCCCGGGGGCTCGGCCGCTCAGGGGTCGCGGCGCTCTTCTCCCGCCAAGCCCTCGGACCCCGCGCACCTCTGCGAGGGGACAGAGACCATTGAGCGGCGGGGAGGGAGCTGCCGGCCCCGGAGGGACCGCTCGTAACGCGCCCCCCCGGGCAGGGCAGGGCAGGGCCGCCGAGCGCGGTGTCCATTGCAGGCCGCGGTCGGGGGGCGTTGTGTCCCGGCCGCCCCTCGCCCCCGGGGACAGCGGGCTGCAGGGAGCGGCCCCCCCTGCCCTGCTCTCCTGCGACTGGGGCTGCCCACAGGGGCCGGGCAGCAGCGGGAAAGGCCCGTTCCCCGTCGTGTGGGGCAGCTGCCCTCGGGGGAATTGCAGAGGTCCTTGGCAGCTCTGTGGAGAGTGGTCTCGCTTGCCAGGGGTTTGCTGACCTGGTTATTAACCGAGGGCCTCGGTTTTGCCTGTCTACCTTGTGAGCAGCGACAGGGCTACTGAGGAGTGTGATGGGGGCATGGCTGAGCAGTGTACTGCCTTACCGTGGTGTCTGGGCAGAGGTGAAGTGTATCACACAATAGTATCACTAATAACTTCAAAGAGCATTCAATAAAAAGTTTTTGTGACTGGTTACTTTTAAGCAAGGGCAGAATAGAAACCCTGTATAAACATGGAGTGGAAGCTGATACACTGAAACCTTCTTAAATTTAACATTCTTACCTGAAGAAACTTCAAGCATATTTCCAGTGATTTCTGAGTGTCCATGAAGGATCTTAGTGTTATTGTTAGGGATTCTTTTATCTTTATGCACATGCTGCTTCTGAGATATGCATCCATTTAGCTTGTGAATATATGTGTGTATACATACATACACACATATATATATAAACATGAGTGTGTATTGGAAAGGGAATGCTAATTCACCCATTCTAAAGTTCCCGATTGTCCCAGTTGTTATACTGGTTTGTACTGGTCCTTCTTCAGTAGAAAGCAGAGTGATATATTTTTACTTATTAAGTGCTACAGAGAGCTCAAGTGTGTCTGCTTTTTTTTTTTTTAATTATTTTCCATAATAACTGATGGAAACACCACTAGTATTTTCTGTTCTTCTTGCTCAAGAAGGCCTCAGGATGTACTTTAGGTTTTGCCATATCATCAATGCACTTACCTATATTGACATCCATTCTTTAGGCATAAGCATAAACAGTTCAGGGCTGAAATGGACTTTTAAGAATTAATTTTGTTCAAACTGCCTGAATCAAGGTAGTTGCAGTGAAAGAATGAAGGCAGAGTTCACATCTAGTGAATATCTTAAAAGTGTATGTAAAAGGAAGGCTTTCAAGCAATGTTCAGTTTTCTATTTCCTAGCTTTTCATAGAGCTTCAGGATGTTCAAAGAGGGTAAGGTTTTCCTCCATATGTAGTATTTACGTGGTGCTGGAGTTCTACCCTCCTAAAAAAAAAAATATTACATGTGCTAGCAGTGCACAACTTTGGGACAACCAAGAACAGATGACCTTAAGTCTGACCTTGTACTGATGCCCTGAGAAAATGAAGAGCTCTAATTATGCTAACTTTCTTTTTTAAAAGCTTCATGCTATCCATGATTACCATAATATCTAGAATGCTTTATGGGCCATAGCAACAGCATGCAGGTGCTTTGTGCTTCAGTCAAGAACAAGAAATTAAAAGGCAAAATATTTCTGGATACTCTGTTAAATTGCACACCATTATAAGACTAAGCTTCATTAAAATTATACTCAAAGCACTCCTCCATACTTGATCCTGAAGCTCTGAGAAATAGCAACAGCAGGAAGAAAAGTGATGAGGAAAGGAAGGGTGTAAGCAACCTCTACTCTGAAGTTTTGTAGAAAACTTGCTTCTAAAGACTTCCAAATACAGATAAAGCCTTAGAATTGGTGGCATGAGGGTCTCTCATCCCTCCAAATAGTCAGCATAGAGAAGTAAGGATGAGCTGTTGGATGCTTCTAACTGTATGTATTACAGCTGAGAGAGTCAACAGCTATATTGGAGTGCATGAAAAGGGAGAGTGCAAGCAGTCTTTTCAGTTGTTCAATCTTAAGTAATATGTATATTCTTAACCTAGAGAGTCTCCTTTGGCTGATTGACTAGTTAACAACATAAACCTTGTTAGAGCTGTTTGAAGTACAACTGGTACAGTGCATTAATAGTGGCTATACCAATGCCATTGAAATACTAGCCTGCATCCAAGTTAGTGCTGTTCTCATCACTTGGCTGGAATACTTTCCTTGGGTAGGTGTCCCACTTGTTTGGTTTTTTTTCTTTGTTTTTTTAATGTGTCTCCCAGAAGCAAGTCTGTAAGGCTAATGATTACTGTTTCAGTAAACAATTCAAACTGCTTAAACAGGGTTTGTTATTGCAGTTACAGATAATTTTCCTGTTAGGATTATTGAGAGAACTTTGGTGTGGACAAGCCTCAGCAGGCCCTCCAAAAGCATGTTTGAAACTTTTTAGTATCTTAACTTCTTTAAATCTTGTATTGGAAAGTACATGTTTAATAGTATTTATTTTTGTTCTTAACCATGTTTCAAAGTAAAAATTTGAGGTCCACAGATTGAATTGGAGGCCAGTCTAGAGGTTCTTTCTGTGCCTGTGTGACACCTCAACAGTGTCACTTTATAGAGGGGAGGAAGGGCAGAGATTAATGTTTTGGAACAGGGGTGCTAGAAGAAGGGACTGGCATAAGGACAAGAATTTTTAATAATTGAAATAATTGGAAGGACAAGGTAGACACGCAGGAGAAGATGTAGTGTGACAAGCATAAAAAAACTACCTGTAGAATGACACAAGGGAAGAGGAAAGCTTAACATACAAAAAATGTCAAAATGGATTGAAACTGGTTAAAACTTGCTTCTGGGTGGAGTTGAATGATTCTATTGGGCAAAACGTGTCTTTGCAACACTTTACATACTAGATAGTGTTTTTAACAGCTTGAGAAACGTGTGACTGTCCATGCATGGAAATTAAAGTTACTGTGCAGTGGTATGCACAGTACCACACATTTGCCAAGCATCTCCTGCAATTTCACTTCTTAAAACTCAGCTTTACTTGGTCTGTGTAATAGTCTTCCATCCTTAGGTTTGGAGGATATGTTTTCCTGTTTGTTTATCTGACTGTCATTTTTCATGCCTGCTATCTTTTATAAACATGAGTATCTTTATCAGAGCCTCCCACTTTTTTTTTTTTTTTCATACTTTAAACTGCATGTTCAAGATAACTTCTGGGAAGTACTGTAATTTTCTTTTGGCTTTTTTTTTTCCTCCTACCAGATAATGCAAAAGTTAATAGCTGCTCTAAGATCCTAAATTTCTGAGGGTGCTAGAAAGTATTGGAAATGCATCTGTCATTTAGTTTTTACATAAATCTGAAGGAACATGAGCCTAAAATGGGAATGAGGTGACTTTAGCAAAAGTTGTTGAGTTTTACTTCTGAATAAGGAGACTGTGTATCAAGTATGTTTTAAGGAGGAATGCTCTGATCTTTGTTTGTTTGTATGAAACAGAATTCTGTGTGAAGAGGGATATTAGGTTCAGTTACTACATCATGTTTTAATTAATGTTTGAGAAATTATAAAATTTCATGAAAGATAGGATCAGGCAGCAATAATTTCAGGAGATAGGAGTTGAAATTCAAGTTAATTAAGATACATTACATGGGGAAAAAATGTCATGTGTTTTGAGAGGGACAAGTGCAACCTAAAGCATGTGAATAAAAATGGTTGACTCTACAAATACACCATGGAGCCCAGCCCATAGTCATGTAGAAAAGGATCCAAATGTATAAATATCACAACATAAATATGATCAGACATGACAAAGCATGTGAAGTAAACCTGCTGTGGTGCTGTTGGGGCCTCAAATG